AGAGTTGAATACTAGTTATATAAATACAGAAGAGAGTTCAATAAAAGAGCGAAACGTCGAATGTAAGTGAGTTAAAATAAAGTTATCATAAATTGTGGAACAGACGAAAAAAAACTTATTTATTAATTAAATTTTTCGATTATATATATTATCATTTACATTTTAGAAAATGAAATGAAATTGGTTGAAAGGAGTCGTTTTTTGTCGAATTACGTAAAATATTTCTTCTTCGTCATCAGCTGCCACCCGTTGCAGTGTCCAACAGTAGTCGGCAAGCATCTTGTCATTGCATTTACCGTTATATCTCTTCTCCATTAGAGCTATATCTTGCTGAAACCGTTCTCTATGATCATCTGAAACTGCTCCTAAGTTGTGAGGGAAGAAATCCAAATGATAGCGCAAAAAAATTGATGTTTTAATGACGTTGCAATCCATGGCCTTGTATGATAAAAGCAATTCTTTAACAATGTTTTTGTTATTTGTTGTCCACATGTTGTTGACAAACGTTTTCAAATGAAAACCTATCACTTTTTTTTAGTTTCATTTAATTTTCCTTAAAATTTCAGCTCCTTAATCGAGTGAAGATATGTGGCCAAAAAAAAAAAAAAATCTTGAAGCCTAAAATTATAGCTCTCGTAACTTTTCATGTTGTAATGCACTGTTATAATTTCAAGATCAAATAGATTATTTAATTTTTCACTGAAGATTTCAATGATTAAAAAATGTTCAAGTTGTCGAAAAACACCATATTTTTTGACCCGAACACAAATTTGACATAAGTGCCTGATAAAGATTTACTGTCTTTGGATTCGTGTTTAGCATACCTTAAAGCATAAAAAACATCATTTTCGTTGAAGGAAGGATTTTGACGCAGAACAGTGTTATCTCACTGAGCAATTTTATTTCAAAAAATATCGTTTCCAAACTTTTTGTTTCGTTTTTCGTTGTAGTTTGTTATTAAGTTTGAAAAATGAATTTACTTCCACAGACGTTAGATACTTCCCCACCAATTACTGAGTGAGCTTCAAAAAGTTAATGTGAAATATTCACAAAAAAATCTTTGTATAATTTACATGTATGTAAAAATTACCACAACACATTAATAGTAGATTTTAAAAAATTATGTTTTTTCAGAATATAGAAATATAAAGAAGCGGATATATCCTGGCACGGATTCTAATCATTACTCCCTGTTTCCACTAATTCATTATCTTGGTCCAATTAGGATATGGCGCACGCAAATGTCAAACAGTTCCAAGCAGTCATGAACAGGAAGAATTAGAGAAAGCGCTCACGTCGTGCTGGTACAACGCACACATTTGGGCCACGTCTATCAAAAACATCTGATAATGGACGGGGCATGTTCTTATGTAATTGTATTTTCCGCAGGGGACTACTAGGCCAAAACATCGGCTACTTTTATGTAATATAGGAACGGTTTATTTTATTGTGATTGCCGTTGGTCGGAGAAGCGGAATTAGGCGGTTGATGTAACTGGCAAATTGTGTGGTACTAATCAAACCCTAATTATGAGGAAATGTAACAATCAAGGATAATAATAAAAAATAATTTAATCGTAGCATAGATATTTATCATATGGGATAAAAAAAAAATAATGGAACACCACAACACATGGAAGGGTCGTGGGTTCAGTACTTAGTAAGGAATTACTGTTTCTTGGTTAACCGTTGTACAAGGAGGTGATTTAACCGAGATCACGCTCAATCACCAGATTTCTCCTTAATTAATTATTTAATTAAACATATCCACTTATTGAGCCTGGCTGTATCCCAGGAGGATCTCTAGACCCTTTAGTAGAACTAAATAAAGTAAAAATTAATTAAAATTTACTGAAAATTACATGAAGTCTAAGTAAAGGCAGTAAGTGCCATGCCAGTAACGTTTGGAATCGAACAAACAATACGGTATAAATTAACTTTTTGAATAAAACTTAAAATGTTATAACCCCATAAAAATATTGTATTAACCAAACCCCTATTTATTCTGTGTGATCAATGCCTTCCACATTTCACAGTCATTATATTAATAATAGTTATTTATATTAATTTTAATTATTAAATTAAATTGGTACTAGACAATTTCTGAACTATTCTCCAAATTTCCTCCACGTTTGGTTCAAGTTGAACGAGCCATTTTCAAACAATAAGCGTATCAAATAATACGTTTACTGATCCGAAAGAGGAAGTCTTTTTTTAGAGTAGTGGATAGAATTTATCAATATTGATATTTACTTTCTTAATTAACCAATCCCTATCTTCCCTACAAATTTGAGCTAAATCGAACTAGCGGTTTCAGAGATATAGACGTAACATAGAAAATACATTTGCGTTTAATGGAGGAAGTAGATGACGGAATTCAATCAAATCAATAATCATTATTTAACCAAAACCCCCCTTTCTTCTAACTTTTAACCAAATCGTACAAGCCGTTTCTGAAATATTAGCATATCTATGAAATCATGAAATGCGCAAGTGCTAGACGGAATTTGATAAACTTGATATTGGATTATCTAGACCAATCCGCACAATATCTGTAAATGTCATGAAAATCGGAGAAACAGTAGTAGGTGTAAACCCGCCACATCGATTTTACTACAGACAGAAAGACAGACACCGAACCAAATTTGATCCTTGATGTATGAAACCTAAAACGCGAGTGGAATTTTTTTATTCTAAGCACTTTTTTTTTAACCTCTCGTAGGAATACAATGGTTCCCTACCTTCGGTAGTGAGGAAGCAAAAAAAAAAAAAGTTTTTAAAAACAAATCACTTTTAGTAATTTTAACAATATTACACACAATTTCAATTGTTTGCACACATAAATTTTTATCTGAAACTTGGCAAACATCCATATTATTATCTTGATTGTAATCTTGGACAGGTGATATTGTATGGTCTATAACCTCTTAATAGAATTCCAGGGTATCTATTGTTCTCCAATCTCTCCCATTTCCCATAACTCTCTCCCAAAACTTATGAAAAATACAAAAAAAAAAAGTTTTCTTGGAAAAAATGGAAGTAACCTATCTCGAATCCAAACGCCTCATTTGCAATGAGTTAAAAACCGTCTATCACATTTACCACACTACTACTTACTTCGATTATTATTTAAATATTATATAAAAAACACTAAATTTTCATACTATGTCAGGTCAATATATATAAATAGAGGTTAAATGTGCTTTTGATCAGCAGCATGTCCATGAATGACAATACAGATAAGGTATTTTTAACAGATCATCATACGTAAATAAAAACGGAATACATTTAGCGGCCATAGCGGTTATACACAGTATTCATATCTAAGGCTATAGAATAACCATTATATTATATATAAGCTGTGTATACATTTGAGTAAGCCTTTACGGAAGAGCCAGATAAGGGCCTGCGAAAAGGGCCAATAGATAGCTCTTTTCGGCTGTCCAAAGGGCTCTTCCCTTACGAAAGCCAATCACCCTTCAAGGTAGAACACCCCCTTTCATCTCAAATGTACATACATTTCCTCGTTATACCCTTTGTATATACATATATTCTGATGTGTATATAACCACCTTCCATAACTGACCTTCGCCAGCGAGAGCCCTTTTCACACAGTCACTCCTCGTCCCTTTTGTCTCTCTCCTCCTTTATTTAATAATGCTTCGACACAAGGATTTATTTATGATCTGTGTCCTTCTCATCTTCGGGGAGCTCGATCATTGTGTGAAAAATAGATGTAAGCTACAGAAGAGATATGGACGCCCAGGCTATACCCAATGTACGGTTTCCGGTATAATGTATATCAGTTCATTATCATTCGCTGTGTATGGTGAAATCAGGTAATAAAAATATCAAAGAACATAATATACGATATATAATCAAAATAAAATATATATAGTAAAATTTAAATCACATATAATTTATTTTAACTAACTATAAGTTGGTTTATTAGGTGCAGTAATGAAAAACACAGAAACGAGAAAATTTATTTTAATCTGTGCTGATGTTTTGGCCTATGTCTTAGGCTTTAATGAAGGTAAAGGATAAACAAGCTAACAATCAGCAAATAACAGGATAAGAAAAACAGAATATAAACAAACAGTATGTAAATAATAAAAATAAAAGAAAATGACTGATACATAATATTTATTGAATAAATATAAGCTCAACATTATATCATAAGATATGAATGAATACCATTAAGGGTATTTAAGGAATAGAAAATATATAAGTTAATATATGATAGTATAACGTGATAATGCAAAAGAAAAATTAATATTATGCATCCGATATAAATACTTTGACTCAACAGCTTTGATTAGTATAAAGTATAGAGGAGGCTTACAGGTTTATTATAATTTTTGAAAAAATAAATTAAGAATATTGAGAATATATAAGTAGTATTTAAGAATACGTTTTCCCCATTATTTTTCTCCAGCGAGACTATTACCTCAACACACAGAAGCCACAACCAAGCAATGGAAATGAATTACCTGAGTAGAAAACAAGGGACAAGTTCAAAAACACAAAATATAAATAAGCATGGGAATGAAACCGGCTGAACGTATAGTAAAAAATAGAATCGACCATGTTAAAATAATGAAGGGAAGAATGACCAAAATTATCTGTGGAACGAGAGGAAAGGAAAGAAGGCCTAGAGGAAGACCAAGAAATACATCAGAAGGTGAAGGAATTCGACAAGGAAGGGATGGATGGGAATACACAGGATCGAAATTCATTAATTAGGCTCTAAATTAAGACCCCTCAACGGTAAAAGAAGACATGATCAAGAAGAAAATTAAACGAAGTAAGAAAAAACGACAATATAATTGCAAAGCTATATTCTGGAGCACCCACCGTCATTTTTTGGTATATGTTTTAAAATAGTCCCAAACTTCAGCAAATCGTTCACAAAAGGATTCGCCGGCCTCATAGATAAGCTGAAAACCCGAACAACAGACAATAAATCATCGAACGAAACGAATTCATCGCCATGAGCGGATGGTAATGAGAGGGCATTGGAATGTCAACGGTAGCCCAGGTGGAGACAAAGTGGAGGACCTCTTCTCGAAGAGGAATAGGACAGTCACAGAACAAATATTTGACGAGTGGCGATACACAAGCCGTGGCCCACACACAATAGAGTTGGATGGTGCGTGTCATCCCGATGGCTAGTCAGCCCCTTTAGTAATTATCATAATCATAATCAACCCAGGTGAGTATGTTCTTCTTGATTAATCTTACTGTTGACTCTGGTCCACTCCTCCACTCAGTCTTACACGACCTTTCGCCCGTTATCAAAACCCTCAGTGAGGTCGGCTCATTAATCAATAGGCGCAAGGAATGCCTAACCTTACCATCACACCTGGTGACGGTAGGGCTTTCAGTGGTATATCAGTTACCGACCATTTCGTTTGTCAAAGATTTATCATCCAGTATACATAAATGACATCTCATGTAATCTACATCTGGCTAATTCCAGCAATAAAATGATTGACGCTTGAGGTTATAACCTCTTATCTTAAAAAGTACTTCACATTTGAGAGAAAGATTTTTTTTTAACGGATGTCACAACTTTATATTTGTTTCTCCTCATACAGCAACTCTGTACGAAGGCCATGTATATTTAATTTTATATTCTCCATGTATTACGCATAAAACGTTTATCAATTAAAATATTACAATTCTTATACAAGTTATAAGTTATATGATTTTTCATATATGTCGACATCCTCTAGAAATGTGAGGTTTAATCAGTCAATGAGATTAAGTTTAATGATATTAATCAGACCAAAATATGAAATCTTTATTTTTGCCAGTTACAAAATAAGTCTGCTTCGCAAGGACTGATCCAAATGGCGAAAAAGGCGATCATCCAGGACTCTCCGCATCATACAAAAATTAAATGATCGAGTTAAAAAATACGGATGAACTTTTAGTTTACATTCAAGTTGGCCAAGGGGCTCCATACCACATAAAATCGATAGACTTTAAATCTTTATATCTCTTAAACGTCAAAACCTCCTGACGTCCCGCCGTCTGAATGGAGAACGGCGCAATATCATATAACTAGAATCTGCTACTCCTTACATTGTTAAAATACATATCAGCACGGTACCTTCCGTTCATATTGTAGTGCAAGTTAGTTTTTAACACAAGCAGAAATATGATATTTGTGTACAAAACATAGAGATATTCAGATAGCTAAAAATTAGCAAATTCACATTACTCACGTTTCTCAACATCGAATACTAACAATGATCATAAATCTTAGGATCAGAAGACTTTATGTATGGATTGGATGACGTGTGAACAAAACTTATTTCGCGAAGCATTACTAATAACGACAAAAATATTCAAATAATAGTTTCGATCAGATATATCCTTTGAAATTACGAAACGATCATTAAATCTAGAAGAAACATCATAAACGAGCTGTTCCGGATTTATTCCATACTACATTAATTTTTATGAACTATAAAACATTACCTTAGATAAAATAATTATTTGATGGAGCATTCTTCTTCAATATCAAATCTGGAAATGCAAGAGTATGTATAATGTTCTATACACAAAAGTTCCAAGGCTAATCCACATTAATAACAAAAAAATATGCCTAAAGGCTAAAGAATTATTTTTTTCAACCATTCATTCAATACCATAATACAATAAATTCACACAAATTCCACAGTATCGTTAAACTCTTGTCATTTGATTTGGCACAATACTTTCTTTAGCTGATTTGTGGCTATTAAAATCATGCATTATGAATAACTCACCAATCAAGACAACAATCTTAATAAATTTAACACCAATAATACCAAATACCTTTAGTTGCCAACCTATAGCATTACAATATTTAACGTGGAAAAATAAAAAAAAATAATTAATTTTAAATATATGATTTAATTTAACATTTTCAAAATTGAATCTATTTTTTCAAAATTTATATGATTTTTCAAATCAAAATGAGAAGCATTTCATCTTCTGCTTTATCCTCATCTCAATACTAAGTGAGCATTTGTCCCATATGGTAAAAAAAGGCTTTGAAATTTCAAATGATACTTAAATTTTAGGCCAAAGTAAAATTATTTATTTTCGCTTTTATTGTTTGGTCTTAATTTAGTCAATAAAATTAGTTAATGTTATGAGAATACAAAATTTATTTCACGTTATACTACCCTAAAATACTGGTATAAAATTGTTACTGGTTAAATGGAGAAGGAGAGGTGTAAAAATTAAGGTTTTCTTTAGGAAAAAAGTCTTAGTTACCTTCCCTAACATGGAGGATATATTTGATAATATATCCCATAATAAGCTTTCTCAATAATTTTTAACATATAACATTCCTAACTACAAGGATATATAAAAAAATAGCTTCAGACACATAATTGACGGAAGAAATTTCTATACCAAAAACATTTTAATGTTTCGAGGGAAATTTAATTTAAAAAATAGTAAATATTTCATTTATTGAATTTAATAAGAACATCAAAATAAATTATGTTAATTGAATAAAATATTATGATACTTTTATTATAATTAAAAAATTGTTAGTTTGGGATTATGATAAAAAAAATTTCTAACAAACAACCTTAAGATCTGAAGTAACTGTCGTTGTCAGGAACATAAATTAATTCAAAAACTAAACACATAGAATATGTTATTTTTAAAACATTTTAAATATAGATAACATATCGAATATACTTGTAAAAACTAACTTTCCCATATAGAGTTGTAAAAAAAAAAAATTACAATTAAATTACTGTCAGTAAATTCATTACCTAATAAATCGATTTAAAATAACTACTTAGAGTAGTTACTAAATGTTAAACACAAAATAGATACATTCATCTTTTAAATAAATAAAAACATTTTTCGGTCTTAAATTTTATATGACAAACAAAATAAAATAAAAAATTGTGAAATATTTCTGTAGTTTCATAAAAAAGATTTCATGGCCATCTTTATAACCAATATCTTTGAAATTGTCTTATCTAAATTTCTTAATACACTAAGTACACAGGACTTACAAATATGCATTATGACATCAGACTCTCCTTGACCGAGACCTCTAGTACTCGATGACTACAAAAGAGACAAAACTTTCACCAAGAAAGTTAATACTAAGAATATTAATTTGCCTATATGTTTATAAAACTTCTTTAAATATACTCATTTCTAATATATGATCCAGATATTCGATAAAATATATTTGTTTAAGAATAATTTGAAAAAATATCCATATTATTAATTTTATCTATATAAACATTACTAAAAAATGATTTGTTTAAATTTAAAAAAATGAAAGACATATCATTATACCAATTGATTATTTTAATGATTATAATTATTAAATTTTTTACAGTAATTAAAGTTTAGGAGCATGTATATGAAATAGCTCTTTTGTTACGCACACATTTGAGAGTAGACAAAAAATATAAAACACTGTTCAATATATTTTTTCAATGTTTTACGATATTAGTTTTATTTTTAGCTTACCACGCATAGCTTTTTTTGTAAAACTATATATTTTTCAAATTAAATTTAAAATATATTCATATCATTGATAATGTTCATACTGTTCTTAATCAAACATCATTCTAACAACTACCACAATGTGATGGAATGCTTAATCATTAATAATATGGTATAAATTAATGGTTGTAATAAAAATGTTGAAATGTAACTAATTTAAATCACCATTGAGTAATAAGTAATGAAATAAATAAAAAGAACCCTTAACTTGATCTCAAACATTCACAGAAAAAAAATCTGTTTATAATTAGCCCATATCAGTAATATTCCTATTTATATATTAAGTAAATAAACAAATTCAATAAGTATAGTAAGACTAAAAACATATTTTAAAGAATAATGATTTTGAAAATTATTACATCCGTTTATTAAACATTAAAAGAAAAAAATCAAAATTATAGACATGTTCAGTAATTCGTATTCATCAATATCTTTAATATGATTCAATAACATGATTTTTTTTTTTTTATTTAATATTAAATCGAGATTATTATTTATAAAATGCATACGATGTCACTTGCTTCTTATAAAATTCAACAAATATAGAAACAATATTACTAACTAAGATGTTTCTTTAGCAAGAATTAAACAATTCTTTTTTATAAAAAGGTAACAGAAAACCTTAACAAAAGAAGAGATACGACGCAGAGACAGCATTTGAGCATAATAAGGTAACACATCCAATTAAGTTATCTGATTTGTTTTTTTTATTACCTAATATATTAGTATTCTCAGAAACTTGTATAATGCAAGTTCGTAATCAATTTAAGAAAATATTTTACATTTGTAAAGAAACTTATAAACCATATTCAAACGGAAATGTCATTCTGTAATTAATAATGTTATCATTCTAATTTCCCTTAAAAATTCTATATGGATACAAATCATCTATGAATATTAATTCCATTCAGGTGTACAGTACAATCAATAAAACAAAAATTAAATTAATAACATCTACTGAATGGGTTATGGATTCAATAGTTCAAATATTTCAATTTTAACATTAAATCATCACATAGATTGATGAACAACAAAGACTGAAATGTTAATAAAACAGTTGTAATAAAACAGCTGTATGAAATGAACAGGAATTATTTTCTAAACAGAGATATATCTGATAAGAGCTAACATTCATAGGCACTTCAGTTACAGATACCTCATTTTGTTTACTAATGAACAATATTTTAGTTAAACAAGATGCTAAATTGGTACTAGAAGCTAGTTTGCTAATCGAAAATATAAGAAACGTATAATTGAGACTATTTATGTTCATACAAGTGTTATCAGATAAAATAAAGCAACATACCTCTGCCTTATCCAGACATTCTAGATGCTCATCCGAGAGATATTTATTATAAAGAGTTCTAGCAAGAGTTCCTCTAGGTCGCAGCATAATGTTGCATGCGGGGAAGCACTGATCAATGTCTTCAACAGTGACTCCACCCATTAATATCTACATGAAACAGAAATTAGTTTGGCACTTCTTCGATTTAAGATGGTATTATGAGTTCTTGTAATCAAAATATTTCATATGACAAGTGAAAATGGCATAATTTTAGTTAGAAACATGTCTATAGTGTATCAACTACAATATGCATCACTCAAAACTCATAGTTTTAC